TAATGTTTCTAATTGTTTCAGTTCATAAAGCACTCTCCTCCAGTTTCACACATGAGAAAGAAAACTTATTAGGAGATTCTAATTTGAACTTTGTGTGTGTGTGTCATTTTGCTACCATTTATCACTCGGCACTCGAGCCGAGATCAGACGATTTGTCATTGGGAAAAGGGTAAAAAGAAAGAGAGTGATTGAGTTCAATGCTTTTCCATCAACCAGCCGAAGCAAAAAATTTATACTTCATTTGTGAGACTGAAAAAGTACTTGCTATGCAAACTTAACCACGGCCAGTCATGCATTCCACAATCGCTCCCCAGTCATTTTTTTTGTGTTCAGTTACTTGAAATAATCGTAACTCTTGTCTGATGCATGCTAATGCCTTTCACGTCAAGCACAGAGAGTGCTCTTTGACTGCAAGAGAAAATTTCATGAAATGTTAACACATTCCATGCTGGAGTAGCGGTCAGAAAGAGAGACTAAGTTCACTTTCTTCACTTTAAAAAAGAAAAAGAAAAGAAGCTCCCCACAAACAAACAAAAATTCGTCTCTTCTCTTGGATTCTACCGCTCATCTCTCCTTAAACACACAGTTTATTCAGGAACAATATTGCAGAGTCTCTGATAATCAAGCAATTAAGAAAGATTTGCCCGTTGTTTTGTTGAATTATTTGTAATTAATCATATTTAATAAAGGATTCCGAAAAAACTCGTTAACAAGACTATAATATTAATTTCGCTCGCTTTCTTTCAAGACAACACCAACCTACGCTACCCGACATGATTGGCTTATCCATAAAGTATGTAAGAGGCGTGCAGGGTATGTGACATGCTTTGCCAATTGCCACTTGAAGTGATGGTGACAATGACACCAGACAAAAAACATCCACTAAAATGTTTGTCTTTTTTGTGGTAAATCACATCCATTAAAATGTCGAGACACGCCCACCTTTTGAATTTGAATAGTTGAAGGACGAAATCCAACGCAAGAGCAAGAAAAACTTCTGCTCTAAAATTAGCAATAATAAGCAAAAAAACATATTAATATCACGAAAAAATCTTATTCAATATATCCATGACACACCAAAAACCTTAAATCAATACGTATGTAACTAATATATCTCAAATTAATTTTTTGACTATCAAAAATCTTAAATTTATACATTTATGATAAATTTATCCTCTGTTAATATCCGTTAAATTGGATTAATATTACGAAAAATCACGAACTGGTACACATGTGACAAACGAAGGGTAAAACCCCAAACTGATATACTCGTCTACTGTCACGTGTCATCTAACTCGGTAATTTGACAGTAAAATTTAACGGAAACTAACGGAGGGTAAATGTATCACAAATGTATCAGTTTGAGGTTTTTTGTTGTCAAAAAATTAATTTTGGGTAAATTTATCACGAGTATATTAATTTAAAAAATTTTGCGATATTAACCAAACAAAAATAAGATTCAGTCAAAATCTACAGACATAAAGCACACAGGATGCACGAATAAAGAACAGGAGCAACGATCTCGCATCATCATCCAAATATCCAACGATTTCTAATCGGCAAAGGAATCCAATAAAACGACAACAACAAAAAAAAAAACATAACCACAGTGCTATAATTAAAAACGCAGTTGTCGATAAGAATCCCACTACGTCCATTTCTAGGGTCGACATGGAAAAATGTGCGAAAGACAAAAATTTAAAGGCCATGGTCGAAGATAAAACTCTCTGCCCTTATCGTTCCAACCATTAATTTTCTATTTTTCGCTTGCACAACATCCGCCGAAACCCGACTCTCACGTTTTCATATGGGTCTTGTCGTTTTGTAACGTTATCCACCAGCACAGGATATGCTCAGCATCAAGCTTTTTTGGCCCACACCAAACCCCTAACGATTCCGAACATCGCCCCTACTGTTGAATTTCAAACTGCTTGGCGACAAGAGTAGAGACCCAAAAGGCTAAAGAGACATGTGTGGCCACAAATCAGTCGACCCTTAAATGAATAGACGCAAAAAAGGGGGAAATTCATCAGAAACACATGACATTCCGTCTCTCATTACTAGAGGCTAGAGCTGGCAAATATTAAGTTATATTCCATATATTGCACCAAAGAACGATCAATCAATTAAGCATCACAAGCACGCAATAAGGTCTAACGACCAGAACATTAGAGTAACCTCTGGATTGATTGAGAAGAGGGACGTACCGATCATGCACCCGCCGAAGAACAAGGCCTGGACCAGCCCCACCTTGTACTTCTCCCCGCAGACAAGCCCCCACTCGGTCACCGTGGAGCTCCCGCCGCCTTCTACCCACTCCCACGAGCCCCGGTCCAGCCCGCACACCCCGGTCGCTGCCCAGTCGCAGCCCCACCCCCCCACGGCGGGGTCGGTGCACCGCCAGGCCGGCTCGCGGTCCGCGAATATCATGACCATGGTGTGGAAGGCCTCGAGGGACCACGCGAGGCTGGTGAGCACGAAGTGCCTCAGCTGCCACGGCCCGAACTCGCCGCAGTACTTCTGGAGCATCCCGTCGATGCAAATCTTGTCGGGTTCGGATTTGGCTCGGCCCTCCCCTCCAGCCACCGCCGCTGCCGCGGCCGGAGGAGGAGGGGGGAGGAGGGGGGCGTGGAGAGGGTCATCATTAGACGGCGGTGCCGCTGAGGAGGACGACATCGGTGCGCGGCTTTCTAGGCGGATTTTCACGGCGGGGAGATGGCTGCAAGCTGCCCAACACCTGTACTTATGGCGTCCTTGTATTGCGCTGGGCGCCTCTCGAAGGTGTGCTGACGTTGACGGGGACGCTAATCATTGATGGTTGACACGTGGGGATCTTGGGCTTGTGGTGGCCGTTGGATGGGAGTCGTACGAATCATCGGGGGGAATGTTCTTTGGATCACACGGTGGGTGTGAGCCGGCGAAATGGAAAGCGAGTCCATTTCGGGGGAAAAAAGGCTTAATTTAGCTGTTCTCTTTAATTAGGAGAGGATCAGATGTTACTGATTGAGCGCGCCGGATATAAAGTGGGTCGAGTCAGCATATTGAAGAGAATCGCTCCATTAATTTATTGACTAATCCTGGCCCAAAAAAGGGATCTTGCATGTGTTAGGAGAAAATATTCGGCAATTTATGAGGGTCGGGTCACGAACCGAGGTGTGCGTTTTTTTGATAAATCCACTTATGATTTGACGTTTATCTCGAATTTAAAAGAAAAAGGATGAATACTATAAAAAAAATCTCAAACTGATACATCTGTGATAATTTTACCCCACATTGATTTTTTGATCACCAAAAACTCTAAACTGATACACTTGTGATAAATTTACCCTTAGTTTGTTTCCGTTAAATTTTACTGTCAAATTGCTTTGTTAAATGACACACGGCAGTTGTCTGATGTGTCAGTTTTATGTTTTATCCTCCGTTTGTCCAATTTGCGATTTTTTGTGGTATAAATCCAATTTAACGGAAATTAACGGGAGGTAAATTTATCACAGATATATCAGTTTGAATTTTTAGTGATCAAAATATTAGTTTGGGGAAAAATTACCGGTTTGAGTTTTTTAATGATATTAACCCAAAGAAAAACACTAGAGTACCTGTCCTCTTTTCCATCTCCCTTCCTCCTTCATCCGGCCACCGCGCTGCCTAGGCTCCGCGCTTCCCTCGGCGGTCGCCGCCGGTGCCACGTCCACGCCGACCACCGCCAGTGGCTCCGTCTTCTCGAGCATGACCTCTATTTCGTTGTTCTTCATTTTGCGTTTTGAGCTCGTAGTGCTACCCATTGCGGCGGCTCGTCCATGGCATCTCGACCTCACCATCAAGGCTCGCGGCCATTGACAAGCCGTCGTCGCCACCAGATATGGAAGTTCGGCTCTGTTTGTGGTCTTACATCATAGATCGTGTGGTCGGTTTCGTCAAGGGGTCTTCCAAGATCTAGAAGTTCGGCTTTGTTTTATATCGCAATCTTTGTGGTCGGCTCCGTCAAGGGTCACGTTTGGCGCAGCCGTCATGGCGGGTCTCCTTCAAGCCGATCCGCTCCCTCAATTTTTCCGTCGAGCGTGCAAACTCCGGCAAGATCGTCCATGCTAGATCTAGAGGCATGAGGGAGACATGGCAACAAAGGTGAAGGGAGAGAACTCGTGCCTGGGGCGACGGCCACGGCGGGTTGATGGGGCGCCGAGGACGGAGATGGCAGCGGCTTGCGCGGTGGAGACAGCCAAGCCGGATTCTCAAGTGGCCGGGCAAACGGTGGTTGGATGGAGGAGCAAGCAATGAGGCTGGATGGAGGAGGAAGACGAAGACAAACAAGATTTTCTTTTTTTGTTAGGGCTGCATCATTTCCACCCGTTGTATAACTAAATCCGCCGTGTTTTTCCCTGAAAAAAGTAAAATTTCCCTCGCTCGATTGCAATTTAATGTGGTAGCCCCAACTTTATTTACTTTCCTTTTTTATTATTATTATTTTTAGTTAGAATTTAGTTGACATAATTAAACATTTTCATGGTTTGTGTTTATTTAATGTGGCTATCCCGTGTATATTAAAAGCAAAGGCAACTAGATCCTACATAAATAGAAAAAATAAATAAAAAATAAAAAGGAAAGTAGATAATTTTGAGCCATCGCTTTAAATTGCAATTAAATGATTTATTTTCTGGAGAAAATTGGATGGATTTAGCCATATAAGGGGTAGAAATAGCGGCGCCCTTTTGATATTTGATACACATGTCAAATTGCAAGTTGATTTATTTAGAAAAATGCTCGCCACCTCAGCTAGTGCCCTTCTGATATTTGATACACATGTCAAATTGCAAGTTGATTTATTTAGAAAAATGCTCGCCACCTCAGCTAGTGATGCGGCACTCTCAAACCACTGAATTATTTAGGCCGCCATTACCACATCACGCGCATACCACGAAAAGCCTCAATTCCGAAACTAATCAAGTATGTCGTTTGATTAAAGTGGACTTAATGACAAAGCAGGCTCAACACATTTAAGGTTATAAAAAGCCTCCAATCCCATAGACAAGTAGTTAAACACCACTGACAATTAAACTAATACAAAGTCGGTAACCGCACTTCCACAAAGTGCGGCTGTACTCATTTTCTAATTTCTAGGACTTGGACCACACATACATTTACGAAGCAGCGACGGGGAATGACGCCATTCCATGTCCATCCGCTGAACTCCATACAAACTTTATCAGTATGTAAGTGTATGAGTATCAGACTGTATGTGACTTCTATAGCTACCGAGCTCAAGATGTAGGTTGAGTGTTTAAGCGTTCGTTTTGAATATGGCAAAGCCGTATTACAACATCTCTCACTCAGAATAACTCCGGCCGCTCTAAGGGTGCACATGCGAGCCACCCTTAAAGTTTAGTCGACTCGAAAGGTCAAGATATAGAGATCAGAACTTATTTTGTCAGTGCCAAGCAGAAACCGATATCAAGCTCCTCTGCTTCCAACCCAACAACATGGCTCCTTCCTTGTCTTCCACCGTAAAATTTTCCGAGTACTGCCTTAACAAGCTCCTAATCACTGAGTTCACGTAAGCGCTCAGTGGGTATTGACTGAACCCGGCCATTTGCAACCTCGACCTCCACTTGCCGAACAGCTCGTGTCGCCCCACCCTTTCCTTTCCCTCGCATGAGATGATGTTGACGATATCCCTTGCCAGGCAATGCCGCACCGTGTTAATCCAATCATTTCCGTCCCTCGGCAGTGCCATGTCTATGGACTCGAACATTGCCGAGTAGTAATCTAGAGTCTCGACGAACCTCGTGAGGAATGGGCTTGTGTTTGTATTTGATTCTTGCTCGATTAAAGTGATCACTTTGGGCGAAATAGACTTCACCATCCTCAAAAGCCCGTCCCTTGGGTTGTTCACGTCAACGCTCTCATCTGGGGTGCGGTGGAGCTGCAGCGGAAAGTTCACGGCCAAAGCCTCCCCTGGCCTTATATCGAGCATGTCCCTAGTAACATCCTGGGAAAACACACTCAGTCCATTGAACTCCACAGGGATCTTGAATTGCTCAGATATTCCAGCCAACTTCCTCTCCACTTCCTCCAATCCACCACCCCGGCAGGCATATACAGATACAGGGTTGTCGATCCCTGTGATCCGTACATGTGGGGCCCCACCAGGCCTCGCCGCGAGCGCCTGAAGTAGAGTGACCCATTGAGTTCCCTGAGCGATTCGAAAGTCTATTATGTGGATGCGGTCATCATTTCTGCAAGCTTCCGCAATAGCTCCGTTAGCTGCCATGCAACCAAACTTCAAGTAAGGGCAGATTTCATACAAGACATGCATGTAGGTGAGCCAGTCTTTGCTTTGTGGCTCCTTACATTTAAGGACACAGGAAACCTGTGTTCCTAAAGATATCCTCCTTGCTACGAGCCCTTCTACCATGCAAGCACCTAGACGCCGAATTCGCCCTCCACATATTGATACTGCAGTCCAAGCCTTCCTGACCAACTTATCGAATTCATCTGTATTGTTCTCTGACAAGGCTTTTGCACACTCAATCAGCAAGTGCCTTATCTCATCTTCTAGACGACTGCGTACCAGTGATTCATCAATTGCTTTGTGCCATTTCTCCAATAGAGTATTTTCGTTAAATTGCCTATGTCTTAAAGCAACAGATGCTTGAGGCTGACTAGACCACAACCTATAGCACTCTTGGCTCCGCTTGTTAGGTTTTTGACCCTGAACAAGTGGAATGCTACCCTTCCAATAAGAAATATATGGCGATGTTACTACATCATCAAAAGTAGCCTCTAATTCCCTTGTAGCAAATTTCATCCATGGGCTACTATTCAAACTTCCTGACAACGACGTCAAATCAGAGCCTGACATAACGTGGTTTGAAAGAGGGTCAATGAAAAAGTCGGATTTTGAACAAACGAGATTGCTGTTGGTTTCAAGGGTGTAGTTACAAGAAGCGCTACTTATGGAAAGATTTTCTGCAGAGCTCTGCTGCTCTCGTTTGTCTCTCGGTGGAGGTAGGGTCTCACTTTCGAGTTGACTTGAGAAGGGCAAACGAGAACTTCCAATATCAAATTTCAAGGAGTTTAATGACCTGTTAGGTGTTGATGTAACTGTAGGGTGAGAAGATGAGCACTTTAAGCCAGCATCAGTCAGACCATATCCAAATAGCTGGTGCAATTCCATGCTATGAGTTTATCATTGGGTGGCCATTTGGTAATCATCAATTACTTGTCACGAACAAGAAAGGCATGGAATATGGAGCTTGCAAATTGGTGTCGGCCAAATAACTGGAATTACTTTGCTGGGACAAACTCCACATGCAAAAGCACTGGCCTGCAATTGATCCAGGAAACAAATCATTATTCAAGTGATGAAAATAAGCTTGGAAAGAGAGGGATCAAACCTAAACAAGACAAAATGGACAAAAAAACAACACATCTGTGCACAGGTATATAAAAGGTAGGAGGGGCAGAGACAAGAGTAAACATGTATAATAACTGCATCAGACCAAACATATCAACACTCGATTATCGTCGCATTGGTAGCATGAGGTCAAAAATGTCATGGTGTATCTAGCAACAATTCTCAATCAATTCATGAAGACAACTAACAAGATTTCACTGATGAACAGATGATTCCAGAAAATTTACATTCCTGTAACAATTTCAATCGGTAATCGACATAAAATTTAATACCACAAAATGGGTATGGACACCAGAAAAACCAAAACCATGCTATCATTGACATCAAGAATATACAAGAACACAGAAACGATAAGCACCAATTGATTCAACAGACGAGTACTTTATCTCAGGGAGACCTTTCACAGAGATGATGTTCTACGAAATTGCCAATCAAAAACTGGTAGTTGTGAAACTCATCAATTCTTGAATCAAACACATGCTGTATTTGCAGTAAACGCAACTCTTAACAGCTTCTTATCAGTATAATTTATGCAAAACAAAGAAAGGAATAGTAAAGGACTTCCCATCAGCACTTCCTATATTGAAGGGCCCGACAAATTTCTGGGGCCTCCTGGTTTCAACAAGCATTTCAGAGCACGGTCTTAACATCAAAATAGATTGTAAAGGAACTGCTATATTTGAAGAGAACAAGTTACTGATCATAACCCATGAAGAAGCCTCAATTTCACAAAAGGGTATGTCTACTAGCCTTATAAAATAGTAATAATCAAAACAACAACAGAACTAGGTACTTATCGTCCATCAAGAAGAGAGATTCGAAAGAGCAGGGTAACAAAAACACTAAATTTTGAGTCTCTCTACTTGCGTTCTTGGGGGCTCTTGCTGGTAAAAGAAAGGAAAACCTTTCAGCCCACCAATATAATTCAACCTCAGAAACATAACCCCCTTAAAGAAGAAGATAGAAGAATCAAGCGGAACATGAAACGCAGACCCATTTCGACTCGGCTTTTCCTCCTCCTGAGATTACTGAACAACCAGCCAAAAACAGAGGATACAAAGCCAAGCCAGGTACGATGATAATGATAAGCTGATGCACAGAAACACTGGTCGAGCGAGAGTGGTTACCGGAAGCTCCACATGGAGAAGCCCAAGATTTTGGTCTCCTTGTTGTTATGGAGAGAGACCTTCGAGTGACGATGAGAGTGTCTGAGGGACGGATAGTCCTACGCTGTTGTTGTCAGTCTATGAAGAATTTCATTCTATAAGTGGAAGTGCTTTCAGGTTATATATAGAAGACGAGAGGGTTGACGGACGTCTTTGACGGGATTTTAACGGTGACGGAGAGAGGAAACGATCGTCAAGTTTGGGATGATTCTATTTTTATCATCTAATTTGTGTCGTTTTCTTCAATTAAGTACTCTCCAATTCACAATATGCGCGACCTAATCCATTGACTCGTATTACTTGTGCTATCGAGTCCTCCCGTTATCAACGCCATTCATAAAATTTGAAAATTAAGTAAATATAAGAGAAAAGGAGACAACAGATCTTGAGTGATGACCAAAATTGCAAAAGACCATTATCACATAATTGTTGTCCCTAATTGGACACCTCAAGATCATCGCGGTGATCATCGTCCTTAAATCAACAATGTGGTGGTCGTGGTCGCTCTCTCTAGGTAATAGCAATTGCCCTCTTTATCTGCATTTTTTTTCTTTACTCAACTGGGGTTATTATGATCACCATATTTTCTAACAATGCTCGCATTTACCTCTGTTAGATTCGTCCCTTTGAAATATGTGACCCTTGAACAAAAAAAAGAAGATATATATATGTGTGTGTGTGTGTGTGATCTAAGATTAAGATTTAGAGCATCCCATCAAGACAATGTTAAATGAAAAGATCGCGCCTCTTATTTTTAAAAATTTGACACGTGGATTGGACCGTTTCCTAAAAGGTCCATCCACCGATAACTAGCTTAAAAATACGCGTGTCCGAGCACGTGTGGTTTGGACGGTAAAAGGATAACGATAAGCATGTGTTGGATTTCATTTCGTTGTCATCCGGATGCTAGAGTTTGCAATTCCCTCATGATACACACTCTCGTCACTAGCTTCAATATGCACGTGGTGAAAATTTCCAGGGAAATACTAATATACGCGCGGACTAATTTCATCGCAAAATAATTTCTCAAATTTTCTTCGAAAAAGATTGAAAAATAAGAGCGAAAAGTTTGGCGACGTTTTTATTTCCGATGGAGTAAGCGTAAAATTAATATTTTTAGAGCTTTGTTTTTATAATTAATGCTTTGTTTTCATAATTTTTGTAAAACATATGTGCGAAATAAACATCTTAAAAAACTAATACCACGCAGATGATAATCAATGGATAATCTGGCTTTGCCACGTGGAGTGAAGCCTTTGACTCCTTTGACCTTAGGTGGCTCGAATAGGAACGCCAATTTATTTAAATCGAACATAAGAAAGCGCAAAATAAATGTTCAAGCAATATCGCAAACTTGTTAAAATAACATTGACAATATATCACGTCGCTTGATATGTTGAATTAATATCTCATATTGCTATTATTCTTAGTAAATTTTACTATTTTGGTCGTAGGTATAGTAGAAATTCGCCTGAATATAAATTGTTGCGATCACAAGTAAAAACTAAAGATCTATCATATACAAACCCGGAGGATTTCAATCCTGTAACTTTAGCATATAAAGTTCCTTGCTTGCCCTTGCAAAATTTTAAGATGCAATTTATTGTTCATTACTAAACAATGAATAACATCCCAATTTAAATTGAAACGCGATAATAACGACATGATTATTCGAATCTTTCAAATTTCGTAAAATTAATTTGTGTTGTTCAGATTTTACGATATTTGAATTTATCTTGTTAAAGACAATCAAAAGGAAACTATCTTCTTCTTCTTCTTCTTTATTTATCTCCATCCACTTTTATTCAACGTTTTCAATTCATATTTCCTAGAAGAGTATGTAATACTTACACAAGATCAAACGCCAGAAGTCACTATTGCCGCTATCAATTCTACATAAACGAACGATAGGAACGTCGATATTCATACAAGATCTCATGACCCCTTTTGATGAGTAGCATGCCATGATGATATGCGCGTGAAACAGAAAAAAAGTTGGGGCATATTTGGACTTTAGCTACTTCACATGTCATCTGTGTTAACAGCAAATAATGGGAGTCACTTTGAAAGAGTGATTCGTATTTAAAGTCTCAACTTCCATCATCGTTTTTCTTTTCTCTTCTGAAACCCGATTGCAAAAGAGAGAAAGGGATGGTTCATTACAGATTGATGGATACAGTTGCTGAGATGCATGTGGGAATCGTGGTGGATAAATGATACAACCGCTAAGAGGCATTAGAAAAATCACACATCGAACACTTGATGTGGTGTGGAGCAATTGATAATCTTATGAAAAATTGTCGAAAAAGTCATAAACTATTACACTTTTGCTAATTCAGTCCTAAACTTTTCGATTTTGCCAATTGAGTCCTAAACTTTTTTACCTTTTGCCAATTAAATCCTAAACAATTTCACTTCTTGCCAATTGAGTTCATCCAGCTACTTTTGGCCGGAAATCGCTGAAGTGGATGATGGCCGGGCTACGTGGCGCTGACATGGATAATTTTTAATAATATTTTTTTATCTTTCTTTTCTGTTCTTTTTTCTTTTTTCTTTTTTTTTCTCCCCTTCTTCATCCTTTAGCTGGTCGTTGGGCCAGTGAGATCGACCTCGCTAGTGGCCAACGAGGACAAGGCTCGCTTGAGGTCGGTGAGGTCGACCTCACCGACCCTAGCCTCCGGCCAGTTGTCGAGGCCCGGCGACCAGCTGGAGAAAGAAGAAAGGGAAGAAAAAAATAAAAGAAAGAAAGAAAAAGGAAAAAGAAAAAAATCAGAAAACATTATTAAAAAATTGTTCACGTCAGCTCCACGTAAGCTGACTGGCGTCCACGTTAGCAATTTTGCTAGATGAACTCAATTGGCAAGAAGTAAAAATATTTAGGGCTCAATTGGCAATATTAAAAAGTTTATGACTAAATTGGCAAAAATGCAATATGTTTAGGACTTTTTGGACAATTTACCCGATAATCTTAGTTGGCTCATAACTCATTATTTTGCGGTTTTTTTAGCAAAGTGAATTTTAACCGGATATGTTGGCGAATTCGAATTTGAGCTCTCTCTTTTCGAATCTCTAGTTACTCAGTTGCACCAAAAGCGGAAATTAAAAATTAATGGTGTCTAGAGCTCCAGGACGTCACATTCACGAACCTCAAACTTCAAGGAAGGAATAGAGTTCTCTCTCTTTATGCTCCACATCTTTTAAAGGACACTCCTGCCATCCCAATTGCTACTTTTTCTTATGTATGATGGTGCAAGTACAAAAGGAAGGCACTAAGACTGGAACTGGTTGGATGCAAGTGTGCTGTATGATTGGACTCAACATGTAGTTTTCTGCAATTTTGGGACCTTGTTTTTCCCTAATTCACACTTGATGGCATTAAAAAATTATCATACGACACTGATAATTAGGTAAGTGACAGCAACATGGGTGAATTGTGTGTGGGAAACGAGCTTTTCATCAATTATTGTGTCGAAATCATAGCTATCGAAAGTAACATGGAGTTTGCACAAGTGGTGTTGTCAAATTGCAGCGTTCTTACCACTTCAAAAGGCCTAGAAGCCTATGACCAAAAAACAAAGAAGGCCTAGAAGCCACGTGGCTTATTTTATTTCTCTAATATTAAGATCTTAGCAAAGTAAGCACTGCTCTTAATCCACTCAAAGTGGGGCTCCTTGATTAAACAGATTGTTGAGCCACTCGTATAAAGACCACAACATCTTGAGTGCAATATATCCAATGGTCATTGGGAATGTAAAACTACTTAGATTATTTTCATTAGAACAAGATAAGATATGATACAAAAAGTGCCATGTCTTAAAAAGACCGGTGTTGCGTCATTCGAGCAATTTTAAAAAAAAAGTATTTTACATTTTAACATGAAATTATTAGTAAAAAATTACCAACAAAGTCATAATCATATTGCATTTGTGCCAATTCAATCTTAAACCTTTCAATTTAATTAATTTAATCATAAACCTTCTGACGATTTGTCGATTGATTCCTACACCTTTAGACTATCTACTAATTTAGTCCTTTTGGTTAATTTTGGTCGGAAGTCGCAAACGGGCGGTTTGGTCAGCGCCAATTGTTCTACACGACAGACTGGTGCTGACGTGGATAATTTTTGTAATTCTTTAATTTCTTTATTTTTTATTCTTTTCTTTCTTTTTTCATCGACCTAGGGTTGGAAGAAAAGAAAAGAAGAAAAACAATAAAAAGAAAAAGAAAAAAATTACAAAGTTGTTTACGTTAGTGTCGGCCGTTCCACATAAGACGGTCAGCGCTAACTAGATCACCATGTTAGTGATTTCCAACGTAAATTGGTAACTAGGTAAATTGTCAAAAGGTTTAGAACTAAAGTTAACACAATTGAAAGGTTTAGAACTCAATAGGCAAAAATTGTTAAAAGGCCTAGGACTAAATTGGCCAAATTAAAAGGTTTATTGCTGAATTGACATAAGTGCAATAGGTGTATGATTTTTTCGGTAATTTTCCCAATGATTAGGGATGATTTTAAATGTAGTTATGAAGATATTTTTAGGGGTTCGCGCCTTCATGGCATTCCATAATAAATAAAAGTTTGATTTTAAACTCTAAAAGCTTTTAAAAAGTGGAAGAGAAATAAATAAAAGAAAAGATCACGCAAACATAAATGAGAGGTCATCAAATCATTGGAAAAATGACCAAAACAGTCCCAAACCTATTTTTCTTTCCCTGCTCTTGGGCATGTTAGGCCCAACAGGAGGCCTTGATGAACTTGGCAAGGCCCAAAAATTAATGAGCACTTGAGCAAGAGGCCATGGAGGATCTTCCAGCAGTTCCACCGGGTCTACCGGATCTTGCCTGTACGGCCACGTTCAACTCATTATCCACCTTCTGGTGTTCACCAGGTAAATTACTGCAGATTTGGTGCCACCATGCCAATGAGAAACCATGGTTTTGTATGATTGTGACTAATGCGCACTCAATACATTGGCTTTTCATAGTGGGATGGTTCCAAGGCTTTTAAAGCAAAACCAGAGGCTTCGTGGTTTATTCAGCACCGCTGATAAAGCAAAAGGTGTGGCTGAACGATGGAGAAAACATGGTTATGGAATTTTGTCGAAAGAAACCGATCATCTGTGAGCTCTTGGATCGAACAATCTCTACGACGGCGAGCAAGCCGCTCCGTCCATTCACATTTGGTAAGAGTTCACCCATGAGGTCGATGGACACGGCCGTGAGGTTGTTTCGAGTGAAAAAAAATGCTGTAAACCGACTACGGACTTTGCTGCATTTAATTTAAGCATTCGATTCGATCTGGACGACTCGACACGACCAGCGGTTGGAAATTTACGATGCTGAGTCACTGCTGGGACAAGAAATTGTACCTTGCTGGTCGAGTAAATTCGTGGCGCTCATGATCGGTTGGGTTTATGTCGGGAGAGCAAATCACCTCATGTACAAACTTGAAGGTAATGATGCTCAGACCAGAAAAGTTCAACAGTCACTGAAAGAGACGGAAGAACAAAAAGCAACGTGAAGAATCCAAAAAGCATCACCTAAAGGAAGAAAGCGAATAAAGCATGTTCAAGATGACTCAGATTGAATCTCCTGATTCACGTGACATGCAATACCTGAAATCTTTCAAAATGTACGAACTTTGACACACGAGTTCGCGTACATTTTCCCGTATATTTTGTATCCGAACGGGAAAGGCAATAAGCGACCATTTGCATCTAAAAAACACAAAACCGAGAACGCTTTAAACCCCACGAGGAAAGTCTGACTGGACGGGGAGAATGATGGACATGATTGCACAGAAGACGGATTCGTTTGAACAAAGGTGTCTACCGAGTCCATCACCGTATGAGATGATTCCGGAAAATGGGCAAAGGGAAATTCAACGAGACAAAAGAGGGTGGTCACGATCAAGATTCGAGACTGTACCCTTTTATTGTCGCTTGACTCAGACTCACAGTATATCCTCATGTGAGACTTGCCTGCATAACTCCCTCTGAAAGGTCCCAGCTGTAGCTTTGTATGATTGTGACTAATGCGCTCTCAATACATTGGCTTTTCATAGTGGGATGGTTCCAAGGCTTTTAAAGCAAAACCAGAAGAGGCTTCGTGGTTTATTCAGCACTGCTGATAAAGCAAAAGGTGTGGCTGAACGATGGAGAAAACATGGTTATGGAATTTTGTCGAAAGAAACCGATCATCTGTAAGCTCTTGGATCGAACAATCTCTACGACGGCAAGCAAGCCGCTCCGTCCATTCGCATTTGGTAAGAGTTCACCCATGAGGTCGATGGACACGGCCGTGAGGTTGTTTCGAGTGAAAAAAAATGCTGTAAACCGAATACGGACTTTGCTGCATTTAATTTAAGCATTCGATACAATCTGGACGACTCGACACGACCAGCGGTTGGAAATTTGCGATGCTGAGTCACTGCTGGGACAAGAAATTGTACCTTGCTGGTCGAGTAAATGCTTGGCGCTCATGATCGGTTGGGTTTATGTCGGGAGAGCAAATCACCTCATGTACAGACTTGAAGGTAATGATGCTCAGACCAGAAAAGTTCAACAGTCACTGAAAAAGACGGTAGAACAGAAAGCAACGTGAAGAATCCAAAAAGCATCACCTAAAGGAAGAAAGCGAATAAAGCATGTTCAAGATGACTCAGATTGAATCTCCTGATTCACGTGACATGCAATACCTAAAATCTTTCAAAATGTACGAACTTTGACACACGAGTTCGCGTACATTTTCCCGTATATTTTGTATCCGAACGGGAAAGGCAATAAGCGACCATTTGCATCTAAAAAAACAAAACCCAGAACGCTTTAAACCCCGCGAGGAAAGTCTGATTCGACGGGGAGAATGATGGACATGATTGCACAGAAGACGGATTCGTTTGAACAAAGGTATCTCCCGAGTCCATCACCGTATGAGATAATTCCGGAAAATGGGCATGGGGAAATTCAACGAGACAAAAGAGGGTGGTCACGATCAAGATTTCGAGACTGGACACTTTTACTGTCGCTTGACTCGGACTCACACTGTATCCTCATGTGAGACTTGCCTGCATAACTCCCTCTGAAAGGTCCCAGCTGTAGCTTTTTTTCCCTTCTTCTTCTTCACCTTCTTCATAAAACTTATTTTCGTGATTTGGAGTTTCAAGAAGATGGCCAATGTGAGAGCATTTGTTTGCCTCTTGGTCGTTGCTATGGACATACTCGCTGGAATTCTGGCTATTGAAGCAGAAGCTGCCAAGAACAAGGTACAGATAGCACTCGCTTCCTCTTTACTATATGCGGGTGCGTTTTTGCTTTCGACAGCTTGATTAAGATCGTGTGATGAAAAAGCAGGCGCAAAAGAGCAGCAAGAGCTTAGCGTGCAAAGAAGTGAGGAGCAACGCATTCGAGCTTGCACTAGCGGCGACGGTGCTTCTCGCTCTCGCCCACGTCACCTCGAATTTGCTCGGAGGGTGTATCTGCATTTGCTCCATGGATGAGCTCGAGAAGTCCTCCTCCAATAGGCAGCTCTGGTTCGCTTGCCTCATCTCCTCCTGGTACATCGTAATCGAACTCTCACGTTCCTCATTTTTCTCGCGAAAATTCCTCGCGTGACTTTGATTTCTGCGGTCGTAGATTGCGGGAGATCACATGTTTGGTTGCCTTGACAAATATAGTAGATTAAAACCATCTAAAAGTTTCTCTTGTTCTCTAAAAAGAGTTCTAAAATGCATAGAACCGATGCGCGATGGACAGGGTTGGCCGGTTTAGGAAAGAATCTGACGACACAGACAACAGGTCAAGAATAAGTATAAAACAGGAATAGAAACATTTGACCTTTCTTGTCTTTGCTACTTTGTCTCCAGTGGGCAAGTTTGAGTTTCTTGCTACGACTCATTTGAGCTGTAGATCTGTTGGCTGTACATGGAAACCTACCATTCAACGCTTCAGATCGCTTCATCCTTGAGTCCACCCAAGATTTTTTCATTGTTCGGCTGTCAAGGGTAACCAGGAAACGGTTTGAAAGCCGGACTGAGTCGAACTCGAACCGAACTGAACCGTGCCCACGGTTTCATTCGATTCGAGAGGATTTCGAACGGAAAAAGTAAGAGGTTCCTCACTTGAATCGAACTGGTCTTTGCAGAACTCGAGAATCGAGTCGCATTACCTGTATCTCCTTTCATTTATATTGGAAGCGACCATCTCGTCTTGCTTAGATTTTATATTATAGGCATCATATCTATGATTCTTTTAAGTACTCCAGTTTCTTGCTTTTACCCTAGAAATTAAACAGACAGCACTTCATATATTGAATACCAGATCATTAGAGATCTCTCTTTGAGATTATGCTATTCAATTTTTGGACCCCAGTCGACCTTTTGCTTGCGAGCTCTCTGTAATCAAGTTCTAAGTACGTTGCTCAACCGACAGGATCATCGCGGCCGTCGGATTCCCGATGCTGGTCATCGGCATGCTAGAGAACTCGAAACTGCAAGGCTCGTGCAGGTTCTTGCACCCGCATTTCCTGTCAATCGGTGGAGGTCTATGCTTTGTTCATGGTGTGTTATGTGTAATTCTTTACGTTTCTTCAGTTGTCAGCTTCGAGACAGACAAGGTCAGCGAACTCGTAGCTCGCCCTCGATAGAAAACTGTGTTAGATGTATATATTTGAGGTTAGGTTGGTTGTATTCTACATTAATTGTAATTAAACCTAATTGTCTTCTCGCCCGATACATAAGGGGAGGGCTTGTACTCTTCATTTGGTAATTTGAATATATTAGGGAAAATTGTCCAAAAAGTCATAAATTTATTGTATAGAGGTCAATTCAGTCCTAAACCTTTCAGTTGTGATAATTTAGTCTAATTCCTTTTGATGATTTGCCAATTTAGTCCTAAACATTTTGATAATTTATCAATTTAGTCCTAAACTTTTTCACGATTTGCCAATGTAGTCCTTCTTGCCAAATATCCAAATAATAGGTCTATGACTGAATTGGCATATTCAAATGGTTTAGGACTAAATTGACACAAATAAAGATTTAAGAATAAATTGGCAAATCGTCAAAAGGTTGTTTAGAATTGAATAGGCTGCCGTACAATAAATTTAGTACTTTTTGAAAAATTATCCCGAATATAGTATACTAATCCTTTTTTTGCAGCAAGTAATGGTAGATGAGTTGCAAACTTTGGACAAATCTCATACTTGGGATTTAGTTGATTTGCCTCCTAGTAAGTTTGTTCTTGGTTATGAATGGGTGTACAAGATTAAGACAAAAGTTGACAGTATTGGGGACCATTATAATGCTCGCCTCGTTGCAAAAGGCTTTACTTGGGAATATGGCATTGACGATGAAGAGGCTTTTGCTCCTATTGCGTATCTTACTTCTGTTCGCATTCTTCTTAGGGGACAAATAATAACTATTCTGTTTCCCTGTTTTTCTATTTTTTTGTTCTTGGGAACAGGTTTAAAACAGAAATCCGTTTGGTAAAATAATTTCATTTTTTTTATTTCTGGGATAAATTTTGGCCCAGAAATAGATTTGGAAGAGAAACGAGAAGTTAAAATTTTCTATTTTTTAATTTCTAGAATAGAAACAACAACTTTCTCTTATTACTCACCCTTGTCGCCCACCGCCGCCCACCGCCGGCCGTCCGCCACCACCCGCTACCTTTCGCTGGCCATCTGCCGCCGCCGCTCGCCGCCCACCCGCTGTCGCCCGTCGTCGCCCGCTTGCCGTTGCCGGTCGCTACTGCCACTCATCGGCCGATAGGAATAGAAATTTTGTGTCATCATCAAACGAATTTCTATTCCAAGAACATAAATTTTGTGTCATTATCAAATGTTATTTTTTACTCGGAAACTCATCCGGGAAAGAGAAATGGATTTTTTAGTTTCTAGCGAAAAATAGGGCCGAGGAAGAGAAATGTTGTCATTCGCGCCCTTATTGTTGCCGTTGTTAAGCGCTGGTCTCTATTTCAAATGAATGTAAAAAATGCACTCCTAAATGGCGACCTCACTGAGGAAGCTACACTCATTCTTATTGCCAAGTGTGTCGATTACGTCGCACATTTTTATGGATCGAAATAGTCTCCTCGTGTATGGTATTTCAAGTTTAGCTCCACAATGAAATCCATTGGTTTTACATCTAGTCCCAACGACCATGTTTTTTTTGTTCAACACACTTCTCATTGGTCTATTTTGCAGCTCTTATATGTGGACGATATGATTATTACTAGAGATGATCATATTGAAATTTTAAAACTCTAGCAATATCTTAGTCATCAATTTGAGATGAGAGATCTTGGCAACTCAATTACTTTTTAGGCTTGAAGATTACCTCAGATTCATCTGGTTATTATCTTTCTCAAGCCAAATATGCAACCGATCTTCTTTCTTGAGCAAGACTCACTGACAACAAGGTCGTTACAAATCTTTTTTGAGACCAATGCCAAATTTGATGCCAGTGATGGGACCTCTCTTCCAAATCTTACCCTCTATTCGACAGCTAGTCGGTTGTCTTATATATCTCATTGTTACTCGACCTCACATAGCTTATGCTGTTCACATTGTTAGTTAGTAAATGACCACGCCTTGTACAACTCACTTGTTGCAGTCATTCGCATTATTTGTTATGTTAAGGGTATGTAATTTCACGACCTTCACTTTTCAACTCATTCTACATTGGAGTTGACTACTTATTTAGATGCTCACTGGGCTGGTGGCCCTCACAATCGTTGTTCCATTACGGGTTACTGTCTATTTTTTTGGCACCTCACTTATTTTATGGCGTAGTAAAAAACAAGCCATTGTTGCTCACTTTAGTAGAGAAGCTAAATATCAAGCTCTTACTAATATGAGATTGGAGTTATTATGGTTGTGATGGCTATTGGAAGACAAGGGAATGTGTCATCATAGCACGACAGTCCTTCATTGCGACAATCATAGTGCTATCCAAATTGCACACAATAATGTTTTCCATGAACGCACCAAACATATTAAGATAGATTGTCATTTCATTCAATATCACGTTCTTCATGACACTATTCGATATTTGACTTGCTTTCACTTCATTAGCCGAATAGACTATTGTGAGGGTGTTGGATGTGTGTGTGTGTATATATATTTGTGATTAGGTTTGCTGTAGTTTACTTAACACCTAGTCGCCTTCTCACCCTATATGTAAAGGGTGGGCATGTACTCTTCATTTGGTAATGAGCATATATTACACTTTCCTATCTTTAACTAAATACAACAAATCTCAACTATCTGGCTTCTTAAACAAGCGGATCGTATTCAAGAAGTATGAGAAATATGACGAAGCATTTTTCAAATCATTTTTAATGAATAATTCTGATTATATTTAGCATTACTGCTGTCTTCATAGAAAACAGACTTTTGCTTGATAATGGTGGGTTTTAAGCTGAAGGCCCGTGATCCTAATGGGCCAAATGTAAATATGACTGGGCTTCTTGTTTGCTCTTCGTGTTTGCATCAAGGCCCACCAATGAGTTGAGAGGCTCGAGTTAAGTTGTTTTACATTGATCAAGTGACATACATACCTCCTCTAGTCTAATTGGACTAAACAATATGCGTCCTAAGACATGTCCAACTCGCCAAATTTGATTGCTCACATCGATTAGTTTTACATCGATCAAGTTTAACACATGCGTTTATGTAAGAATTCGAGGTAATCACTGGCCTTAATAGCCAGTTGGGCACGTTCAAGCCTATCCATATTTGAAGAACAAATACACAATCGTTTTTTTTTTTTCGGGGGGATTTGCCCAATTAGCAAGCGAATTGGGATAAGATACTTTAGGCATAATCTCATGCCATATCTTTTGATGGGTCAATTGAGAACTAGTTCCGATCAGGAGCCCGGTGGTCTATGGACTTAACCAGGATCCAACCTTTGTCGCAAGGGTCAAAGGCTTGGTCTTGTTCGGACTTGTCCATTGATCACCTCCAATGAGATTGTGAGGAAAATTTTCTTTTCTTTCCTTTTCTTCGCCAGAGGATTCCATTGTTTGCATTTAACGATATGACTAGAGGAGGTAAATAGGTTCGCTAACCCATCTTGCTACTCGTATCATTAGGTTGGGTTTAAGACGGGTCACTCGAATTGAACGTGGATCCAAATGGATTTAACTCATAACTATATTTTAACTCATTTTAGTTGGTTCCGTACTACTTATTAGACATTCGGGCTCATTTTGTGGACCGTACCTACATATCAACATCTCTGTCCCTCTTCAATCATTTGACGCCTTTTCAGATTTCTTCAACTTTTTTCTTTTCAAATTAATAGTAAAATTAATAGTTATGTGTAAATTAATTTGAAAAGAAGTTATTAACTTCATATCCACTGTTTCCTTTTTACTATTAATTTTTTTTATGATCGTTTTATTATGGGACCATTTTGATTAATTTGGTTTTTTCTCATGTAGTAGAATTTTGCCTCTACCGCTTTTTAAAGTACCGATTTTCTTTTTCTAATTTCCATGCTCCGTATCATTTTGAGTATAACCCTAAAACGTTCAATGAATTGTGTTATAAAATTAGCATAAGTCATGAATGAGTATGCATAAATCATTTGGGGGCCAAGGGGTTATTCTTGGAGGAGTCAGTATACAACTTCACCATCTCGATGCAATCATGCCAATAACGATCTTTCACTTACAAATTCGGGAAATTTCAAATAAAATCCTCAAGTAGAGTCGCTTTTTCAGAAAAGACCCTAGAGTGGATCTAAAGATAGCGGCCTATATTCATGAAAGTCGCGACCTCCGTTGATTCACTCTGATGGTGTGGTTGCACGAGGCTGGCCACCTCCATAGCCTCTATATCGTGGCTCAGCTTAGCTCACTCAATTCACTTGATCTTTGATGAGACATCAAAGCTCTCGGATGGCTATGGCCGTAGTTGAGAGCTTGGAGCTCAAGTGACCATGACCGCAAGTGAGGAGCTAGAGGGCTGCGAGACGAGAGGAGCTAGAGAGCCGTAAATGAGACGAGAGGGAGCGGCTAGAGCCGTGAGTAAGAAAAGAAAGAACGGGCATTGGTGTCATCAAGCCAGCCTGAATGGAGGAGCGATTGTAGGTGATGTTGGTTTAGAGGCTTCGCATCGAATTCATAACATAGCGATACAATGTACACTGTGGAGATTCTTTTAAGAAATGGCCCCCACTTCAGTGTTATACATAAAATTTTCCCTAAATATTATCAATAATTTATCCTTAATGTTATTGCGAGTTAACGATCCAATGAACAAACTTCACATGCCTTTTATGGTAATATTATCTAATAATTTCACCAAAAAAACACTAGTTCATAAAAATGAATTATATTGGGTATGAGTTGAGTTTAGGTGGGTCGTAAACTCATTTCTTAACCTTTGTATGATTCGCTGAATTGTCATAAATGAGTTAGATATAATATGAGTGATAAATAAGTCATAAATAGATTTACAAATTCCTAAACCCAATCCTCCTCTATAGCTTTTTCTTCATTTTTTCTCGCCCTCACTCGATCTCGTGCTCATATTTTGCACCCTCACTTTAGTTTGGATATGAGTCGGATTAGGTATGAGCTGGTATGAGTCACTGAATTTGCATTCAATTAAAATTTAATTAAAACGGGTTAAAATTGGTCTATTTGGGCTGACCCGACCCAAATCCGTCCGATCCACCCGTTTGAAGGGTCTAAGCTCGGATCGCTATACTTGTATTTTATAAAAAATTGATCAATATAGGTATTGAGTGCCATTTTTTCGCGTGACCCAAATTCGACCCCGGCTCGTATGTTTGACTTGTCTAGGTACGATCCACGTCATTTCTCTGCAAAGAGAACACTAATTTCATGCTGACGTGGCAATCCCCGCGCGCGTCAGATCAGACGTCCCCGTGACTGCCGGAGTATCATCAGCAGTTTCAGCACAACTGCACGTAATCAAACACCCCCCTTCGAAAAGCAGAGGCCATTCTCGTCATTTCGCCTCCCGACCCGAACCCGACCCCCACCCACGCCCGCGCCCGTCAAGGCCACCTCGCGGAAAATACGACCCGGGCCTCTGGAGCCGAATCTCCACCGTCCGATCCCTCGGGATCCAACGGTCCTCGCCCTCGATCCGCGTGCTTCGCTCCCATTGGACCAATTTCAAATCTCTCGCGCTATATATATACTCCTCGCGTGCCCGAGATCGCAAACCAAGCCACGTCGTATCTTCTTCGAAGCAACCACCTCCGCCCCACCCCACCGTCGCTCGACTCCCCCAGCTCCGGCCGCCCGCCCGCAGCCTCGCGATCCCGCCGCCGTGCGAATTTCCTCCGGTTGCCCATGGCCGGCAGAGGCAAAACCCTAGGCTCCGGGGCGGCGAAGAAGGCGCAGTCCCGCAGCAGCAAGGCCGGGCTGCAGTTCCCCGTGGGCCGTATCGCCCGGTTCCTCAAGGCCGGCAAGTACGCCGAGCGCGTCGGCGCCGGCGCCCCGGTCTACCTCGCCGCCGTCCTCGAGTACCTCGCCGCCGAGGTACGGCGCTGCCGAACCCTGGATTCGGCGCTCTCTTTCTTTCTTTCTTTTTCCTGGCTTCTTCTGCGGTTTGAGCATTCAATTGGATTTCGGGAAATCGCTCGAGGACGAGCGGTTAGGTTTTAGGGTTTTGTTCGGGGAGTCCGATTTCGTGGCCTGAAGTGACGTGATTTTTGCGGGTTTTGGTTTGTGTTCAGGTCCTGGAACTAGCGGGGAATGCGGCGAGGGACAACAAGAAGACCAGGATCGTGCCGCGACACATTCAGCTCGCGGTGAGGAACGACGAGGAGCTGAGCAAGCTCCTCGGGGACGTGACGATCGCGAACGGCGGCGTCATGCCCAACATCCACAACCTTCTCTTGCCGAAGAAGACCGGGACCTCCAAGTCTTCCGCTGCCGCCGCCGACGACGAATGATCCGAAAAGTCGAAAGCTTTGGAAGATGACCGTTCTGAAGTGGGGGGTTCGTTCGTAGGTTTCTTCCTTATTTCGAATTTAGGTTGTTGTAGGATTCTTACCTTGTCAGTGAGTGAGTTTGTCTTGTTAGAATTTGTGTTGGGTTAGATTAGGGGTGTTGGTGTTTCAAGGGGTTTTTTTTTTTACAGATTGTGAATATTTGTTCATCTTCTAGTTTCTTAATACAAGAAATTCCGGAGATTTTTCAGATGCACATTTTCCTGGTACTTGAACAAAGTTCCTCGCAACCCTGTCTCTCGGTTATGTCTGGCTATTGCTTCCTCTTTTTGTGCATTCATGAGGGTTTGGTAACTGAATGTGCTGAAAACTGGTTCGGTTGTCACTGGGATGGGATGAATAGGGTATGCAAGGTAAAGCGTTGGTTGCTGCATGTCTGATTGTGGGAAGTGAAGCCATGTAAAGTTGAGGTAGAATTGGGAAATCTGGGGACCTTTTGTCCTTGCTCCGGATTTTGATTGAGTTCTGTCGGTTCTTGAGTCTGGGTTTTTAGGCCCTTTTCGGTGTTTTTTCTACGACCAACTAGAGCTCCATCCAACAATGTGTCCCAAAGTTAGTGACCGCCACTCATCCATCTTACTTTCGGAGGTTGTAATGTCAACTAACTCGCATTCGCCCGCCTTTTAAGCCAGAGTTTCTAGGGATCCTTAGATAAAAGAGGGTTTCTCTCCCGGTGTGAATTGTAAACCTTTCTAATTCTTCGTGTGCTTACTGCTAAGTTTGGTTTTCTATGTTATGATACTTCCTTGATACATTTCTTGTACAGGAGGTATGAACAAGCACTCTGCTTGAACAGAGTGGCGTGAGTGATCAAGCGTTCTCCTAAGGAAGAGCTCTGTTTTTCTTGCTTATTTTGGAACACAAGCGAACTAATCTTGTTGTTATGGGGGGAGAGTAGAAGCGGAACTCTATAACTTATCATGAACTCTCTTGGTCAAGATCCTTAACGTTCCACAGGTCATTTCATCATGATTTGTACGTAGGGATCAATCCAATCTTGCGTTTTTAACCATAAGCATCAGAGGGGAGTTTTCGGACTACAGATAAAACAGATCTACTATACAGAACATCGTTCGACATCGAGAAAAGCAAGTGAAGACTCGTGTCACAAAATTGATACCATCTTTCATTTTGTAGGGATTAGTCCACTCCTATCCCTGCTATCAATCTACAAATCATGATTATCTACAAACAAATTTCCTACAAAGAATGCAGATGAGCGCCAAGGCGCCATTTCTTTCAGTACTTGGTGGACAAGTCGGGCAGTTTAAATTCAACTCCACCATAGAAATCCATCTTCTCGTGTAGCTCCTTCGTCACTGGGAAAGTGATTGGTGAGATCCATGTCAACTGCTGGTTGTGAGCCCATGTGAATCACCTCAAGGGTGCGCGCGCTATGTCCTTGAGCTCCAAACGATCTCCCAGTAAGAATAGGCAGCATCTAGCAGAATTGGTTCGTGTCTCTTCTGCCGAATTTCGCCATGGCAACCACCTGAATAAAGGCCATGACAACGCATTTTCAGAAGAAAAACTACAAACACCTCCCTCGCCATGCGACAAAAGTATCAGCTTTAACTGGAAGAACTCGAGTTACCTCAATCAAATGAAACCCCATCAAGTTTCATCATCGGAGCTAGAACTATCTATTCGTCGTTCAGCAATTGCGGGGAAAAGTCGCTGGCGCAGATCAGGAGAGGCTGGTTGACGAGAATCCGACAAAGATCGCACCGTTGGACCCTCTTTCTTCTGTGTTTTTGCTGGCCCTTTTGGTGCATCTCTCACCTCCTTGCAAACCTTATCTAACATGATCAGAAAATCCCTAATGATCACAAAGAGCCTCAACCCCTCATCCTTCCCGGCATTTCCGTGGAAGTAGTCGCCTGTGTTTTTCACCAGAGCCATGATCCTCTTTTCTTCCTCCAGCAACCACGCCACATCAATCTCCGCATTCTGCACGAAACTTTTCAGTGTTTCGTTAAATCCACTTTCTTCCCCAGCACTTTTCATTTCTGAATTCAAGAAATTGCGGGTCTTCATTAAGAAATGCCCCAATCTGGCAACACCCCCTGTCAAGCTGTCTGCATCAATACTCGCCGCTTTTCTGACGCTCTTGAGTTCACCGCCCAAGCCTGAAACCACTTGAAGACCGAGGCTTTGGTAATACTCTTCTGAATCATGGGAGACATCCTCTAGGAGATCATCTGATTTCACGCTGGAGAGGCTTTGGCCTTCCCTAGCTGCACGAGCAGCTCTTACACCTTCCGATCTGATGATCTCCCGAACCACAAAATGCAGCAGCGTCGTCTTGCCATCGGTTCCTTTCACATCTGATAATTTCAAAAGTGTGTCCAGCTTAAATGCTTGAGCGCCACCTCGAAACGTTCCAGTGTTCATGCGATTGCCAGTCTTCAGGACGGCTTCAAGGAGCTTGAGAAATAACCGGCTGTTTCTGAGTTCCTTGCATGCAACCTTTCAAGAAAATATACACCTCATTAAGTAGCAAAGTATAATTGAGGCAGAAGATTTAAGGACACATCACAAATCACTGTCTAAGATTGGCATCAACAGAAGTGGTCCATGTGCAAACCGGAGTTCCCTCGTAAATTATGATTGAAATTGTGTACATGAAATGACTCAGAAAAGACTACTGATATTCTCCTTTAATTTATTTTCCCCAGGAACACGAACCTCTATCTGACTCCCTTGTTCTATGCCTATCCATTCATCAGATTGACATCAAACAGGGTGAGTGATAGCACCATGAACCACAGATGGACCCTTAGTTAAAGACAATAGGATAGAACGGTACAAATTGATGACAGGAAAGAGCCAAGAAGAGGCTTATCCAATGGACTGGCCGGGGTATAGCACTGACTGACTGGGGTTTAGCATCGATTGACCCTAAGGTGACACCTAGTAGAAGGAATACAAGCTGCAAAAGAGGCTGACTATTTTCCAAAATAGCGAGCTTGCACATATAAAAGCTATAGCACACAATCACATCTAGTCAAAGTGTAGATAATCACCTACTGATTAGCAGCAGTTTCGTCGAAAGGAGTAAAAAATGCAAAAGCACCGTATCGAAGAAATGCATCATTCTTTAACGGGGTCACTATCCACACATGGGTTTCGGGTAGTAATGTATAACATCTACTACAGGCATGCTTAGGAAAAACCTGTCCATTAGCACTAGCACAAAGAATGAACCTAATGTGCGAATCCCATAAAAGATTGGCGCTTGTTACTCCGGAAATTTTTTTATTAGATAGAGTATTACTTTCCTTGAGAACTGCAGCAAACTGGATAAAAAGGTCAGATTCAGATGTCTACTAATGTACCTCTAAGGTTGCAAAGGACTCCTTAGCTATGGAAACCTCCTCTTGAAGAGTACTCATGAAAAGCAACGCCTCCATACGTTTAAAAGCAAATGGAATGCCAACAAGAGCTTTCAGGAACCGATCAGCAGGACCAAGTTGGGAGAGTTCACCACTGTATAATCTGAGCTTCAGTTCTTCATCTGTTGTAGGAGCCATCTTCAACAAACTTTGAAGGAACTCGACTGGAAGCTCATTGCCTGGTCCAACGAAAGTTTAGGACATGATTTTAGTGCAAGCGATCCTAACACTCGAAATAAACTAGAACACATTAGTCAAATGATGCCCAAAAAGTAACAGGTCTGCCTGAACATTTTATTAAATTGGATCACTATCTAGTCTTGTGGCTCAGCTTTTTTGAGAAATGCCAATGCAGACATTAATCAAAAGGTTAGCAAAAATGCTGGATACATTTGCCATAACTTTTAATTCTTTTTTCTTTACCAAATCCAGGGCATACAAACATGATAGAACCGAAAGTTTCGAATCACTTCGACCAATTCAGGTATATCTCCAGGATTGTTCTCAATAACACAGGACAGCAAATCAACATTTACAGCTACTGAGAATTGAAGGGACTGCAAAGAAGGAGATCTAAGCAATTTAGCTAATCATGAGCAAGGAAAAAAGAAAACATAGACCTCCCATTCCAAGTCAAAGATGACTTTCTAAAGTAACCAACTTTGCGTTTGACAGGGAATATTAGTATCTGCGCCGTCATAGGCTTTTCTGATAGATCAGGAAAGATGTCAACCATCAAATTTACTCCTCAAGAGGAATAAATAAATGAATTGTGGCAATTGTTTCACAAAGTGATTAAACAGAAAAGAAACAAAAGGTGATAAACTGACAACGCTAAGACTTCTCGTGATCAAATCCATTCATTACTCTATGCTTACCAAGGGTATCATCATTTATCACTTGCGCATGAAGATAAACATGGTTTACAAGGATGACTATGGCAATGTGGCATATGAGCTTTTGAAAGTTAGCAAGAGAATGATCACCTTCATGGAGGGCATCACAGACTTCTTCAATTGTTACATTTAAGGCCCGCAAGAGAATGGATAAGTTCTGTGCTTTTTTAGGATCAATGATCATATTATACTGATTTGAAGGATCTTGTGAAGAAGACTCTTTCTTGAGTTCATTTTTGTTTTTCTCGGCTGGGGCATATCCAAACAAAGATTCAATCATCTCCTCATTGAACCTGTCCATTAGAGAAAAAATAGTCATCAGCAGCTCATAAACAATATGTACTCAAAAAAAAAAAAAAAACCCCATGATGGGATGGTGGGACACAAGATTCTGCACTTACTGGAATGACCCTGACTTAATCTGATGCCAAACCATTGATTGTTCAGGGTTTGCCAGGACCTTATCCCAGAAAAATGGCTTCAACTTGGCTTTTGGGGCATCAACTTCATGGTCTGATCCACCCGCATCAGATGTATTTGCACCAGGAGGAGAGGGTCGAGGTACTTTCAAACCTCCAGGAGGTAGAGGAGGCCGTGGTGGACCTGCACCACCCTTTGGAGGTGGTGGGGGTGGTGGACCTGGTTTGGCCCTTGGAGGTCCAGGAGGTGGAGGAGGTGGTCCAGGAGGTTTAGGACCTGCAGCCACAGCTGAAGGTCTTACAGCGGGAGGAGGAGGCGGTGACGGAGCAGCAGGAGGAAGGCCTGTCATTCCAGGAGGTTTAGGAGGAGCAGGTGGTTCTGGAGGGAGAGGATCTGCCCTGCCGGGAGGAGGCTTTAGAAAACCAACAGTAGAACCTGCCCTTCCAGGAGGCGGTTTCAATGGAGGCAGTGACAAGGAGTTTGGATTTAGATTTGCAGCATTCACATTGATTTCTACTGAAGAGGTCTTGCTTGAGAAGCTATTGAGCACACTGGATTCAACATTGTAGTTGCCGCTTAAAGATGATGGCTTCTCCTTACGGAATGTCTGTTGACCAGGCTTATCTTCGTTAATTGAACTTCCAAAAGCATAAGGCTTAATTGAAGAACCTGTGAAACATAGTTTTAAGAGGAAATGTGGTTATCACCAATGAACAAACAATTCAGGAGAAAAAGAAAACGAGATCCAGTTATTTTCTGTTACCAACGGAATAGTCGCTTAAGCTTAGGCTGAGGAGGGGCCTTTCGTCATTTCGGCCCACATGAGAGCCAGTCCTGCATACTCGTTGATAGCATAAAAATAGAAGTGCTACAAGAACTAATGTGACCGATGCCGTGATTACAACAGCAAGAACAACTGATTTTTTATTATTCCGTTTTGAGCCAGAATCTGGACTTGCTGATGTATTATGACTGGCTGGAGATGGTGAGGTCGGAGCATCAGAGCTGGGAGGAAAAAATGGTGGACTTGGCGACGCGCTAGACTCGGGAGCACCAGGAGATGGTGCTGGACTGGAGGCAGGAGATCCTGATTCAGGTGATGGGGCAGGTGCTGGAGTGTTGCTCTGGAGAGACTCGCTAGCCAAATACCTTCTAGAAGAGCCAAGCTTAGAACTCAAGGACCCAATATACTTGGTGTACCAGTTCTTGGAGCCAACATCTTTTCCAGAAACCGGGAACAGAAAGCTATGCTTTCTTAAACAAGCTACTAGCCTGTGCTTCACATGGGGATGGATATCAAAATATTGCTGGATCTTTTCTTTTGCAAATGATTTACATTCTAAAGCGAAATCGTTACTATTGCTGGATGCTCCTCGCAGTAGACATACATCAAGGTCTCTGACGATATCATTTAGTTGAATCAAGTGAGTCCTACAATTGATCAATAATTGCTCCACCTGCCATGTCAAGATCAAAATACTTGAGTTTCCATCTGTAAGGTTGAGCATAAGATGATGGAAATCAAGATCTAACTGAAGGCAGTCAATATAGGCCTACCTACACCAAATATATTTTCTGCCATCAAGTGCCGCCTGTTTTATAATATTCACTTTTTCAACCTCAAAGAAAGCCTTTACACTACGAACTAGAAATATCGATCTTGGATAGTTCAATCTAAAATCTGACATATCATGCAGCATAATTATTTCCCAGTGGACTTCAACACATTCTCATAACTCAGCAAGATATTTTGCCAAAGGATAAAAATCCGGTATTATCTTCATAAAAGAGAATAACTTATGCCCATTACTTCAAAATGTCTACTGAGTATGTAGCATACCAGGCACATTCGCATGAAATTTTATAGTAACCAGTTTCGACCAACAAATACCCAATGGACAATTATTACATTCTGTCTAGCATGAAACAAAGATGCAGCAGTTTGAAAGAGGTAGGAAACAGGCAGCTCCAAATAGAGGAAAGGGTTTGGAGCTGCCTGTCCCCTAATAGCAGCACACCCTTACTATGAAATCTAAGAGGCAGAGTACTAGTCAAGTCTCAAGTAAGTAAATAGAGCCATCTAAACTCTTGAAGATGCAAAACCAAGCGCATGTTGAATGCTTAGCGCAGTTATTTGACAGTGAAAATTAACAACTTAGTTTGGAGTTGGAGACTCAGCTGAAGTCATAACCTGATAACTGTACAACCACCGTGAACAATGAAAAAAAAGGTGCTAGTGATAACAGAACCTTAGCTACCATAACGGAAGCAACTTGCCAATCCCATAAGAACATGATCATTTTCTTCGAGACTAAGGATCAAGATTATGAAACTGATAGACATTGCAACTACCAATAGATAGCAATCAAGAGATATAATTCCATACCAAGTCTTCATCTATCTCCCCAGAAAGTGGATCTAACACTTCTCTTAGAGGCACTTCTTCTCCCATCCTTTCCCTTTCTTTCGAGCAATAGACCATAGAAGAGCAAAGCAGAGTCACCAAGACGATGAAGACTCCCATTTTTCTCAGACCCATTTTCCCCTGAATCATTCTTTTCGACATATGATGTCCTTCTCAGTTGCTCGATGGCTAAAACCACTCAGTACCTTTATAACTTCATCCCACAAATACCCAAGTTCCAATGCAAGCTTCACCCGTCGCAGCCTCTCCAACCCACCAAACTCTCGTATCAGCTGATCCCACGACCGAAAAATCTCCAACCAAGAAGCACACAGAATCAACCCCCAACAGAACCCAGGGAGCCTAATTTATCGGACAGTTAGACCGCAATCTCATTCCAACCAAACTAACAAACCCAAGAACTCCCGCTCCGCAAGGGGAAAAAGCATCGGATCGGATTACACCCAAACGAGGCGGACAAACGTTCCCGACGCACCGACGATCAGACAACAGGAGCTCTAGCAAGAATTACTTCCGACCCAAAAGTCCAGACGCCCCCAAGATTTCAAATTTGAACCGCACACGAATCGCTCCCTTCCGGGTAACTTCGGGTTTGACCGGATCTAATCAGAAAAGGGGTAGCCCACGAAAACGTCAGCTGTAAAATGCAGGAGCAACCCAAGAAGCTGTTGACCCCCGCCGTAAACGGGCGAAAAGCAGGGAGTTTTCCCACGGGAAAGGCTTCGTGCGAAAGCGCACGGACGAAGGGATATGGAGCTACAAATTCTACAAACTCTCGATGGCGACAATAGTAATATTCAATCCCGAGGAATGTATTGGGTGTTTTCGGACCGACAGAAACGCGTGATGGGCCTCGGTCGGTCCTGCAAGAATCCGCAGGAGAGGAAGGAACGAACGAACATGGCGACTGCGTCGTCCGGGGGTGGGCCGCCACGGGTCCGCGTCGGCCGACAGCGGCGGGCAGCGGACACGTGTCGGTTACCCTCGCTTTGAAAAAAATGGGGCAGCGCGGCCCGTGACTTTTCCACCCCCGTAACGGTCGGATGATTTTTTTTCCGTTAACCCGGTATCGTGTTTCTTTGTGCAACCTGAGGAACAACGGTAAATTGATTCTCATGTGTGCCCAAAATACGAAATTTTGTCCATTTGTACGGTCCCGAATCAGTACCGACATTTACCTCGAATTAATTTTCGTCTCGCAAAAAATCTCAAATCGAAACCTCTAGCCCAAATCAACTCTCTGTTCAAAATGCATATATGTCTAACCCAGGTAAGTTTTCCACGTCGGGCTCGTCATTCTCCGTGGTAAATACGTCTTATGGTCGTTTTCTAGGTGTGCTCATGTGTATGCATTTAATGGGATATTGGTTGGATGCTAACAGAGGATATGGAAGTGTTTGTTTAAGTGAGAATTTTCTGCGAATTAGTTTTCTGGACTTTTACATGTTTGGTCTGCTGAAAAAGACCAATCGATGTGAAAACCGTTTATGATCGAAGAAAATATGCATGCTTAAAGTTAAAATAAATGAATTCCCTAAATCGAAAAGGGGAAAACATTTTCCTTTTTCATAAAATTTTCCCTGAAACAAACACACCATCAATATGAGTCAGGGATATCGATTAGCTTTTTTTGTTAGATGGAAATTAGTATAGGAATAAATTTATCACGAGAATATATATATGAGATTTTGTTTGATGAAAACTAGTTTTGGGATTAAAGTGCCATAGAAATACCGGTTTGAGATTTTTAATGGAATTAAACGTTACTATCAATATCAGTATATAAACGGACAAATTATTTAATCAGGGATAAAAAAGTCAAAAACGATTTGCATAGGGACAATTTGAACTTTGACAAAAGCCGTCAAATGAGAATTCCTTCGTCCGCTGGTTCCCCCATTCTCCTTTGTTCCTTCGAGAATAAGATGATTTCTTCCGCAATCATCTGAGAGTTTTCTCACATCAATTTTTCCCAAAAAATATTGAAAAATTTAGGGGAAATGAAAAAAAAAATAGAGTTAATACTACGGAAAACCCAAAACCCCAAATTGGTACACCTTTGAAAATTTTACCAAAAACTAATTTTTTGACCATAAAAAATTTCAAACTGGTACATCTGTAATAATTTTACCCTAAACTAATTTTTTGATCATAAAAAATATAAAAAATAGCACATTTGTGACAAATTTACCTTCCGTTAGTTTTCGTTAAATTGGATTAATACTATAAAAAATCACAAACTGGTACATCTGTGACAAATGGAGGATAAAATCCCAAACTGGTATACTTGTCAACTGTTGCGTGTAATCCAATTCAGCAAAGTGAAGGTAAATTTTAACAGAAACAAATGGAGGTTAAATTTGTCACATGTATACCAGTTTGGGATAAATTTATTACACGTATACCAGTTTAGGATTTTTCGAAGTATTAATTCAGAAAAAAAAAGCATTCATGAAAATTATTTGACTGCAAAGCTAGAGCAACTAGCGAATTTATTGGCAAAATGCAAAAAATTAAAAAAAATTTAAAAAAATAAAAGGGTAAATGGAATTAAGTGGACTATTTAAAGCGGCCGAATATCTTAAGGACGAAGAATACAAGCACAAGGCCAGCCACATAAAGCCTCCCGTTCGTCCATTTGTTTATTCCATTGCGCGTAGCCTTTCACACACGAGATGTACAGAGCACGTTGACGGTCGTTGCGGGCTTTTCATTCAAACCACGCCGGCGGCCGGCGGCGAGGAATTTCTGCAGGACTCGACGGAAACCGAGACTACCCATTACTCTCCCGCAATCCCACATAAGCCGACGGCTCGGGGCAACGCGCGTCATAAGTCCTTATGATCGAATTGAGTCATAGTCGACACATGACATGATGTTGTTGCTCTCTATCACCGCGGTGAATCCACCTCGGGATCAATTTATGCGACTATTGGGATGAAACTGAGGTGATCATGTTGCCACGTACTTAGGTTCTCTAGTGAAATCTCAAGCTCGTTAGGATTTAGTGTACAATCACAAGGAAATAGAGAGCAAAAGCGAGAAAAAGAAATCGAGATAACAGGTTTTTATACTAATTCACTCTTAAATTAGGGCTACGTCTTAGGAGAGAATTCTGTTATAATCATTACATCGCATCTCTTTGTTACGTCCATCAATTATAAGAGAAATTCATGAGTCCAAGTTCAATCTATCAATAAAATATGAATCCAAAATTATAAAAGCCCTCTGGCTTCATGGGGCGCTGCCTCCTATGACCCCGCCGGGGCGGTTCCCGGTACTCCTGTGCCTCTCTGTCGCTGGAGAGTATGAACCACGTCCCAATAAAGCTAATGGTGTCTTTAATAGAGTTAGAATTGATATCTGATGTTTCATCTGTTTCCTGCTGTCTTCAATGTCTTAACCTTTTGGTGGGGACATGTCTTGATGAGCCTCAGCCTTTGGGTCTCAGACACTCCTCATCTCATAAAGAACAGGGCCTTCTGGATGCTGAGGATTTCAATGATTGCCTCCTCCGATGGTGAACGGGGCGCTTCTCTTGCTTCCTTTCTTTTTTCTCTTTAAATGATTCATGTACTTCAGAGGCTGAAAATTTGCAGAACATTAACCAAAGCCGATGCCTATCTTGCTTTGCCGAGCCATTTTCCATAAAAAGAAGGATGGTTTCGGAATTGTCTTCGTAAAGGGAGATTTCGTGGGAACATGATCAGTCACGCCGAAAGATTCTTTTCACACGCCTTCGCCCCGGCGATGCGGTCGTTTGATTTCCATGTGTGGTTTTGCTCTCACATCAAGAGGAATCGGCATCTCTGATAGGTGGTTTCGTGCCGAATCCGGTGATATATTATGTGAACCCACCAAAGAAAGTAACGTTTCTGCAGACATGATATGAAGCGTTAAGTCCTAGCCTCACACAGAGACAGATCAGCCGTGGTAGTTTCTAATAAAGAACAAGCACCGAGCTAGAGAATCGAAATCAAGAAGAAGAAGCAAGCTTCTGATTTTGCCCAGTCCACCGCCAAATATATTGCTAAGTTCAGCGCGGGACTGGAAATGAAGCGGTAACTATGAACTGCATGCAAAAGTTACACCTCAACTGCTAGAATGTTGAATTGCGAAGCCAGTTGAGGACTTGTAAAGGCCGCTAGAAGCTGCGCGCGCGCGTCCTTCCCGGTCCTCTCGCATTAGCGGAAAGGTTCTTTCTCAATTCTTCATATCGAGACGCACAGAATCTGCACAAATGGCCAGATGGCATCTTGCGTGCCTAGCCTGCCTGCCATAACTTCTTCTGACCAAATGGAAAGAGAGGCGATAAGGAAAAGGAAATATTCCCGCTAGCTTTACAGCCCGCCAAATATTCCTGTTGGAACTTCTTTTTCTTCTTTCCCAATATAAAAGGCAAGAATTCTTCCCAGTTGCCCCCCAAAGAAAAGCCTGCTCAAACATCTAAGCTAAGCTCTGTGAGATGAGCACTTGCAGGCAGCTCGATATTAAAACCGACGATCATGCCCCCAAAAAGTGGTCGGTATTGTTGAACGAGGAAGTATTCAAGCAGTTCTACAGCCAGGGTGGTTCGGTGGTCCACAAGGTTTTCGGCGACGGGTCGCTGTTTAGCCCCTTTTTGTTCGGGAAGTTCTTTGATCCGTCTGATGCTTTCCCTCTGTGGGAGTTCGATTCAGATGTGTTGTTGTCCAAGTTTCGCAGCTGCGGCCAGAGCACTGTCGACTGGTTTCAGACCGATAATGATTACGTGTTGAAATCGGAAATTCCAGGTAAGTTTTGAGCTTTTCTTATGCTGTCCTTGTAGGTTAAAGCGTAAGAACTAAGCAGAAGAAACAGAACTTATCACGATCATTCGGTTAGGAGACTATAGAACACCTCTATTTCACCGGAAACTTATCTGCAGTCCCGGTCCTTTAAGTACATGAATATGATCCATAGCGTACCATGAAAGAGTGAGCATATATTACAAGAGTTGGCCATAAATTGAGACTGTCTATTTGTTTCAGAATATTGTTACTATAGTACGGTTGGTTTCGTGACAATAACCATATGCTTAAAGCAGCTTTAGGGGAAAACAGTGCTCAGATTTATACCGATAATGGAAAGGTGGTGGAAATTAGTGGGCAATGGAATCCACAGAGAGAGTCCAAGACAAAGGATTGGAGGTGTGGACACTGGTGGGAACATGGATACGTGCGGAGGCTTGAGCTGCCAGATGATGCAGATTGGAAAAAAATAGAGGCAAAGTTGAGTAGTGAGAAGTACCTAGAAATCAGAATCCCGAAAGCCAATTCGCATTCTGACACCTTGCCGGGAAAGAGCGGGGCAGCGGATGTATCTGAACCGATGTAAGTACTAATTAATGTGTACCGCCTCTGTAACAAAGCATTAAATCTGACTAAAATCGCATCGCATAACATGGATTATGATCTTACTAACCGTCCCATAATGGGTGTTGCCTTAAGGTCCTATTGATGCATATTTTTTTGAGGTTTGACCTTGTTCACTAACATTATTGTCATCTCAATTCAGTCTATGAGTGTATAGACTAAAAACCAACAAATAATGCAGGATGTAGTGCTGGAAATGGGCAGGGGAAGAGCAAGAAATGATGGCTATTACTAGTAGAACTATGCTAAAGGATCCATCATTAAGCAACTGGTTTTGCAATATCAGAGAGAGAGAGAGAGAGAGAGAGAGAGAGAGAGAGAGAGAGAGAGAGAGAGAGAGAGAGAGGGAGGGGGGAAGTACAATATTTGTGAACGAGCCAATGGTTTAAGGAATCCATGTGCAGTGTCCAACGCAGAATGTTAATCAATCAACATGGTATCTGCTATCTTATAAAGATTGCAGGTTCTTTCTTAAAAAATACACGTACCAACACTAAGCAACCAAACGAGCAATACTAGGTTCATTCAGAACTCAGAAAGATACAAGAGCATTTAGATAGGCTCGAACCAACACACATACCCTCAGAACTGTAGCTTTGCCATGTACAATCAGACAGGGTTTTGTTGTGCTAAACTGTGTCTGAGTGACAAAGGTAAAGCACCTAAACCAAAATGGACTTACGGGTACAAATAATTCTACATGTGCGCTTGTTAGCACATATATATACTAAATTTTTATGTCAATATTATGAAACGGGGATGTCGGCAGATGGTAGAGAGCTCGCTTAGCATGCCAGAGGATCGATAGCCCGCATCTCCACATTGTAAACAGTTCTTTTCCTTTCCCCAATGCTTTTGTGTACCGATGAGGTGAATTTCGGCTCCATTATTTCTTTTCCCTGTTCCAATTTACCCGAGACTTCTTTTTTCTTCTGCTGGAATCTGTAGAGAGTTTGCCATGTAGTGATATATGGGGTGATTTTTGTTGCCGTTTGCAACAAAGGGTACAATATACTGAAACAATTTAATGGATGCATCGCAACCATAGGCCGATCCTAATTCATCTACGCTGCAGCTAACATTTAGAGCAAGAAAAGCAGCTCTATGAACACGTGGTACTAGTTATACAGCCATAACTCATATATGTCAATTTAAGGCAAGTTTTAATCGCCTCCATTGACGAAATGATGTGGCTTCGCAAAACAATATACAGTGAAAATGAACAATGGAATAAAAATGATATTTCTCCACCCAATTAGGGCTAGTTTTCCCCCTTGAAGTAATGACCAAATCTCTATCAGATCCACAATTGCCTCATATTTAGGCCATTCTATCCATAACCTCCTGAAGAATGATACTGGTGTCTTGGTAACAAGATTGCGTCTCCGGCAAGTCCTCCTTCTTCACAGCATCTTCAAGCTGCCAAATCAAATGCAAATGAACATTGCTAGACCATAAAGATGGTGCGCTGTAATAAACCGTTTTTCAAAAAAACCAAAGCAGGTCTTCTTCGTTGGCTGCTTCCGCTGATATTGCAGAGTTTAATGCACAAACGCAAATTAAAGAAGGTGATGCTTATACTAAAAGTTTAAATCAGACAAGTAAATATACATATTCTGATTCAGAAGACTCTAAAGAGATTCAATTATGCCAACTGTACTCCTGCGCTTGAAAACACCAGATGACCATTTCATTTCCATTATCTAAGGCAATTTTTTAAAACTTTTTATGAGCGATTTTGAACGAGCAAAATTGATCTGATTGTCACTTTGTGAACCACATTTAATTACCCTTACCATCTCAAATTTGTCAAACAATCTGTTGGCCAAATCAGTGAGGGGCTGCTTCTCAGAAGCAGAAGCAGCAGAGATCACTTTATCAAAGTCATAGTACATGAAAGTCCCCTTGAGCCTCAAATACTTCCTGACATAATTCCACGCATCTTTCCCAATCAAATCTCCCAAAGCTAGCAAATCAAACGCATACTTCCTTAGCCTGTACATGCTTCCTTTCACTTTTATGTCCGCAATGTAAATTCCTTTCTTCACGAAAGACCTTGTCCCTGTCTTCTCATTTGTAATCTCTGTAAGTCCATGCGACAGGATAAGAAATTGAGAACGTATTTCTGGATAAGCTACTTAGTTTTGAGCGAAGTGCTAGAATGACAACGATACATCCTGCATTTTTTCATAAAATGACTATGATCCTCGGGCCCTAAGAAGTTTAAGAATATGTTAACAACACCTGAATGAAGGCGTGTCAATTTCTTTCACTCTTTAGTGCCCCAAAACTAATGCAGCGTGCATTTAGTTTGATCCGTCACATTATACTTTCCTTTCGAATATGTATCTAGACATCAACATTATGAAGACGAAAAAGCAAGCTCACTCTGATAAGATCTAAAAAAACAAGTCCATCTTAAGTCCAACTGGTTCCGACAGGTGAATGGTCCGTCCTAGTTCCAAGATATACAGTTATTTTACAAATGAAGGTTGTCATCAGTAATTACCCCAGATTGAAGACTGCCAAAAGCAACTAGCCTAAATTTCATGCCAAAGAAGAGACATCGAAAATCAGTTACAGAACCAGAGCTGCTAAGACAGAGATCCGGCGAAAAAGTAAATGATTACTATTGTAGACGGGAGGCACGGGGATGGGGCTGGTGAGCCAATAGCCATTGTCCTCGGCGAGAGCGAATCCATTGCCGAAGCTCCCGATAAGGGCCACTGAAGCGAGGCCGAGAGCTGTTCTACGAGAAGCTTGCAGTGTCAAATGTTGTTCTCGAAGGTTGCCCGAAGTAAGGCCCAGATGTTCGTTCACCGCCGATCTCTTCCGAGCGGCTTGACGGTTTGGGAGGGTCGGGACCGGCGGCGAAGGCAGGGTCTTCGAGAGGCCGTTTAAGTTTGCGAGACGCTCCATTGTTGTGGTGGGAGCGAAGGAGGAGGAAGGGACTGAAGTGGAAGTGAAGAAGTGAGACGAGGTTGTGTTTTTTGGATTTCGGTTATATCCGTTTGAAAAGAGCGCGGCTCGTTCGTGGCCACCGGAATGATATCCTTGCAACGAGGGCTGTTTGGTCATTTCCTGCCACCGAAAAAAGGAAATGGCTAGAAGAAGCTCTTATTTGGTTTGGTAGGGTTTGTTAGTCTGTGGCTTTCTATAGAACACTGGTTTAGAAATTAGATAAACACATGTTACCAATTTCAATGCATTGACTTTCCTTAGAAATTAGATACATTGCTATAAATCGATAATTGCCAGTTTGAATCTTGATCAACGCAAGAAAAAAATTGGTCCTTTTCAAGCTAGATCCACAAATGGAAATTCCACTTAAATAACCATATATGAATGAACACATATCTGATACACGCTTTGATAAATTAGTCTCGATTCCTACAATCTCCGAATAGAGATGATAATAGGTTGGAGGGCCTGTCCAGTTGCTCCAAAGAATGAGATTGACACCGAGTATAGGCAATTTCATTATTGGGGTAAGTCCGCTCGCCATGGATATCGACAAAATCCATTTTAGATCTCGGGTTTGGACAAGGGTGCGAAGAGATCGATTAAATGACAAGTAGTCTCCCTTTTTCCGTCTCTTTTCTGAATACACACAAGTAGGGACTTCAACTAAGCATCTTGTAACCTGGAATTAGGGTCTAACCTGGTGCCAGGAAGGCCTCCCAAGCTGATAAGGCCGCCATATTGATGGGTGCTGTCCGAATGGTAACTCGGTTGTGGGGTGAAACCCGAAAGTTGAAGGACTCAAATTCGAGCCTTTAGGGAAAAATCAAAGAGTTGAAAGTGACTCATTGACTGTTAGTAAGTTTCAGCTTGTCACAAATGTTGAGTTCTTTCATCCCATCTATCACTTTGTCAGTAATCAACTTGATTACATCACATATTATATATCTGCTAGGGAGAACAGTGGTTTCTAGCAGGCGCCTTTTCATGAGCAGGCTGAGAAGAACGAGCTTTGTGGCGAGAAGCAAAGGGTGAAAACGAGAAGGAAAAGTACGGAGCAGCAACTGAAAGCCATGTATGCACCACCATTCTTGACTCCACCTCCGGCAGTTCCTGCCTCCTTCGCCAATCAAGGCCAAACTCCCGGAAGCAAGTTGGTACCCTTCGTCAGCCACCCCCGTGGGAACGCCATTGGCAGTTCTCGCCTCTCGCTGCTGGAAATACTTCACAGGATCATGTACTCCGGTCACCCCCGTTGCTTAAGTCAGCAGCTCACAGTAATTTGGGGCCCATATTTCTCTGCCCAACTGTATTGATCTTGCCATCACTGATCCTGTTAGTTCTTCTTGATGTCGAAGTGCCGGATGATGGTACAAAGTTTGAACTTCAAAATGATAGTGCTAGTTTTCAGTCCTCACATGTCAATTGCAACAAGTTCTGCCAATTCATTTCTCAGTTCTGTTTCTTGTTGTGTTCTCTTGGTTGCTAAGTGAGCTTCAACTTACTTGTAAACCATAAACTCATCATGTTTTGTGAACTATTCAGTTCGGCACAAGGGTCTCCAGTCCAGACATTCCAGAAACGACTTCGAATTGAAATTCATAGCAAATCATTTATTTTGAAGTTGTTGCCTTGGATTTCTTAAAGAGAAATTATCATATGATATTCCTTGATGAAATATTTATCTAGATCCTGATCTACTCATGATCATATCAATCACAAGCATTAATCGGCACGTGAGATTTTACATCGATTTTAATTGATTTACAAAAATTCTGTACCAAATGAAAGTGTTATAAAATATCTTGCCTCGTAGGCATTAGAAAAATAGTAAATGCCATCATAATCTCCAAAAAAAAAAAAAAACCATGTTCATTTACTTCAAAAATTGTGGGGCTTAGGCTTACGACCAGCCATGAAATGAAACCTTATCTGCATCATGCATGAAGCTATTGTCCGCTGCTCTGAAGTACTCCGGGCTCTGCTCTTTCTCAAGTGAACTCAAATGGCTTCCACTTTCTTCAGAACTTATACGCTCACCAACAGACGCGCAGATCCTAGTCCACCAACAACGTTGTTGCCCCAGAAAATCTCTCCCTCATATCTCCAACTTCCCACGCACGAACCCATTTGCCGCATCACTCTCTGCCCTCGAACGCTTCCTCGGAGACCCCGAGCCAGCAAGCTCTCTCTTCAAGCTTCTCTCTCTTCTCCAAACCCACCAGCCTCAAGGGAAGAAGCCATAAGGCAAGCCAGGACTTGCCTCTCCACCACCTTGGAGAAGCCTCTCAACAACCCCAAGCTCGCCGGCAAGCTCAAGAAGCTGAAGCAACCCAGGTTCAGGGTCGAGATCCCAGTCGTCGATGACTCGCCCGAGTCGCTGTCCCAGCTCGTTTCCGACGTGTTCCAAGACTTGCCCGTGAAAAGAAAAGGCTCTCCTGTCAAGATTCTGTTCTTATGGCCTGACAAACAATCTTCAGCCGGAGGCTTTAAATCGAATTCAGCAAGTCGGGTGGCGCATACGGACGTATCATCAGTTACAGAGGATGATGATGTCCAGATCTTCAATTCTGCTGATGTGGTGGTCGTTTTAGCTCCAGGACCTTCGCAGTTGAATGTGGTGAAAGAATCGACTGAGATAGCGTACCCGAAGCCGGTTGTGCTGTTCAATCCCAAATGGGCATTTGATGAAGAGGAGAATTTTGGTGAGCTCAGGAGTTTTGTGGGATCATTTGAGGTAATTTATTCCTTCATGGGCTTGGAAGTTAAGGGAATTTTGAGCAAGAGGAAAGGCGTGATCTTTAAGTGCGTTAGAGATGGGGTCGTCAGTGGGGAGAGATGGGCTGTTCTTGTCGAAGAAGAAGAAGAAGAAGAAGGGAGTTTGAAGGTGGTTTCGAGGTTCAAATCTCGGCCATCCATCGGTGAAGTCGAAACCGTGTTGTATAATTTGATGGCCATCAATTCGCCTATTGCCAAGTCTGCAAAGTTCTTGAAGGAGCTTGTGTCCAATGTAACCGGGAGAAAGTAGCATTTCTTTTGTGGCAAAAAGAATAGAGTTCAATTTTTGGTTGTTTACATATGATGCCTCTCACTCTCGATTGACTATAGAATTCTGTGCTGCATTTTATCGGTTGATTGCTCCTAACAAGAAGTCTGGACCAATTTAAGGATGTCTGTTTTCTTATTTGTTCCTTTGCTGGTTGTCTGAGAATAATTTCATTTTAAGTCTCCGAAGCAGTGAAATATCTTCCCTACATTCTTTTGAGACTGCATTGCTTATTATCTCCTTAATTTTTATGTAATCTACTCGGGTTTATGTAAAGCAGGTTATGCAAAGAGGGAAAATTTTCTTTGTAGTCAATGTGGATTATTCCCGTGAAGATATGCCTGGAGGGAATCTTATTCGAAGACATCTTGTAATTGAAACCACTAAGAGAGAGAACAGAGTAAATTACAACGCATGAGAGAGATTCCAAAATTTGCATGATGCTGAAGCTGTTCTTTCGTATGTACCCTCAGTTGTAATCGCTTGTGGACTTTACCTTCTGTTTCCCTTGACATGTACAGATACAATAGCTCTTATGTTCCACATGGTGAGGCAGCTTCCCTCCAACTGCATTCTAGGAAGCTCTAATATGACAGCCCTTGATTAACTTATCAGAAAAATCGACGTACTTGGCCCACAGTGGCCGAAGTTTCGGAAAGGCTATGTCTAGCCAGGGTTTTGCTCTGCCATTGAAATGGATGACTCCTGCGTTCTTAGCGTCTGCAAAACTTGTGTTTTCCTGGTATCCAAGCCCCAACATGTGCCAAAAGGGATCAATTATGTGAACGTGACCATGGAATGCTATTAGACCGGGAGGTAATGTTCCTAGCTGCCACAAGCTTAGATCGGATTTCAAGTTCTGCACGAGAAGAGAGCATGAGAAAATTGAAGTCAGTATGAGTTGCAGAGACATCTGCATTATACTTTCAGGTTATTATCAGAAGAGAGCATGGGAAAATTGAAGGCAGTATGAGTTGCAGAGACATGTGCATTATACTTTCAGGTTATTATGATACAGAAACGTCCTAGAATATTCTATTATCACCTACTTCATTACAACCTGTCAATTATTATGTATCTGATGTAATAGAGCAAGGTATTTATGCAAACAGTATGCCTGTGCATATTTGATGTGTTGTAGAACGGTTAAATCACACAAGCACAGCATAGCACTGATTATATTCTTGATATTGAGGTGCTTACCTCTTCAAGCCAGTGATAGTAAGTAAGACTTATATTACTCTTTCTCCAAGCCTCTAGATCGAAAATGTTCATGCCATAAGCCCATGCACATTCGTGAGAATTAAAATGCTTCCTTATGAGAGGATGGGAGAAGTTCAAATAGCTCTTTAATCGCTTTGACATCACGAACTTATCCTCCCCTTTGCATGTTTGAACAGCTCCGTTGACCTTCCCATTCATATCGATATCCCAAAGAGGGGAAAGATCGGTTTGAATCACAATATCATCGTCCAGGAAAACTACCTTATTTAGACTTGGAAATAGCTGCAAAAGAACAAGTTGAATTAAGCATAAATTGCACCTTAGAGAAGAAACAACCGGGACTTGTGGTCTTCGTACCTCAGGTAGATGTATTCTTATGTGATTCATCATGGAATTGTATTTTGGACTCAGTGCTTGAAGCTTTGCTGCAACCACAATAGGCTTCTCACTGTTACTAGCTGTAATGGCTGACGACCCTCCTCTAAATTGTGACCTAACACGCTGATCTTTCTCCATTGCTTCCAACACAGGCACTTTTCCCTTGGCAAACCAGTCAAAGTGGTGGAGTGCCTTGACCTCAATTATGGCGGGAGATAGAGGGTGCAAGGAGAACCACGCCTGCATTGGAGAATAGGTCTTCTTATCTGTTATTATGTGGAGGACAACCCTTCCGGGACGGAGTGAATTGTGGACAAGCGATGCTGCAACCACAGAAGCGGCTAAAACATTGTCTGAAGCTAGGACAAAGTGGAAATAAGAGTTGTCCATGAGAGCTGGGACAAACTCAGCTGATGGAAGCTGCAATCTGGCAGCAGCATTTGTTGAGTGTTCATTGGCAAGTTTTAAGGTCAGACAGTAAAGCTGTTTTGGTACGCTGCTAGATGCCACGTGCCGATATAGATATTCTTGGATTTTAGCTGTTCGGGTCCTTTGCTCAAGTAGAGAGACCTGGAATGTAAAAACTTCTAATCAGCTAAAGCTCCAAAAATATTTCAGTGGCATGATGTTCTGTTGACAAGGTAAATTTACACAAAATGATGAAACAAGAACAATTGTCAAGATTAAATATGCATCTAGGGATTATTGATCATGCGGAACAGACATCAGGTTGGTACCATTTCTCGAAGCCGGAGAGCAAAGGCTTTGGCATCTGATCTGCTTTCCTTCATCTCAGCGACAAAATCTTCCAAAGTTTGGGGGATTTCAGATTTTCCTCTTAGTTCATCTTCTGAAATGGGTTTGTCTAAGATCTGGTATATTACTTCTGGAACCTGTAAAATGGGGTGAGAGTTATTATTTGTGGCAGCGACAAGAGAGTTATTATTTTCCTTCACAAGCTTTGAACTGAAGATGTTGAAGAAGATTTATTGAGCAATGAAGATGTTGGAGAGGAGATTACTGCTGGTTCGAGCCTTCGATGCAAAATTTTCGGTCCTAGTTTCTTCCCAAGGCAACCTGCCACCATAGAGGTAATCACTGAATAATCACGTAGGATTTCTGAGTAAGGTATTTAGTGATGGAACTTTTCAGAATTGCTCGTGTTCATGTTCATGTGGTTGCCATAATAATTTATAGCCTGCTTTACATAAATCTGAGGACTGAATTTCTTTGTCCTTGTTGAGACAGATTGTATGTCAGCCTTTGGTAAACTATAGGCTTCTCTGATCTATAATCTAAATGGAACCATCTTTCCTGTCGGTGCCACATAATTTGAGTATGATAAGGAAGTTTTTGAGCTAAATCCCTGGGGGAAATTTTTTGGTTAAAGTGTGTCCTGGGGACGTAGTTATAGGTGGTTATTGATTACATCCGATGGACCTAACGGTTGACAGAAGTTGACCCCAATAAGGGATACCAAATAAAAGGAGTGTAACATTCATAACCAGAAGATTCACAAAATTAGACACTAGATGAAATTTTGTTCAACTTATCAAATAAGCGCTGTGATATTTCGATGCTTATATGATGTGACCTATTAAAGGATTATCACATACTCAAAGTCCTAGATATCGGACCTCTGTTATGATTAATCAACTTGAAACTACATTTCATGATGTCTTAGGTAAAAATGAATGAATTCCTTTGTTTCCACTTGCTTTCTAATCTGAAGGGTGTTATGTTTGCCGAATTTAATCTACCCGACAACCAAATGAAGTTCACAGAACTACCAGATCCTATACTATTCTTTGCACAACAAACCGATGAAAGATTTTTTTAGAACATTTTGATTTTGATGTCTGTAAAACTATGTAAACACACAAATCAGTAATATGTTCTGCGCTGAAGTTCGGAAATCTTTATGTAGCTTTATCCTTTTTTACTTCCTGAACAGAGAAAAATGCTTCCAAGAACTCATTAACATTCTTGGCCCGATCGTGTTTCTTCACAGGTAGATATATAGTTCTAGCTTTGATTCATTAGTTTCGATACGAACTTCAAACTTTATGCTAGAAACAATAACTAAGTGGGGACTCACCTATAGAGGAGCACTTCCTTTCCCCGTCGATGCCATCCACCGCCGTCATAACAAAAATGACTCGCAGAAGAAATGTGAAGAGCAACAGCATATAAAACAGCATGCGGTATGAGACCCGTCTCGACCCGACCTTGACATTGATGAACTCTCTGACTCCTTTGCCCGGAAGCACGGTCACGTGTCGCAAACTGGGCGAGATATGAAGCTGCATCCCTTTTTATTTAGCCCAAACAAAAAGACAAGTTACCACCAAAAGCAGAAGAGACCCAGTTTCTGCTCTTCTCTGTGTATTCCCCGAGTCGTTTGGCAAGAATGGCCAAAACAAGAATGTTGTTGGCAAAGGAGTGCCATGCAGGCAAAAAGGTCAGGGGGTTTTGATGGGGGGTTTGAGGTAGCTTTCGGTCACCAAAACTTGCTTAGAAGTTGGGATAATAGAAATGGATGTTTGAAGGACTGTGTCTGTTTATTCTACACATGGGGAGGGGGGTTGTTGTTGAAGGGAAAGTGACAGGGGGACTTGAGAAACGACGACTATTAATCCATCAATTCCATGACCGATGCGGTGGATAAACTCGATCACGGTAGAAGAATCAAATGGATACACCTGTCTTTCAATGATCGGCTCGATTTAAAAAAACTAGATTTCACCATCGTTCTTTTAAAGGAAACGATCCGTTTTCATGTCTCGAGCTATAGTCACGTGTTCAGCGTTTATTTACCATGAACGAAATGACCATATGCAAAATAACCAATAAAATACATCAACTTTACACCATTTATGTGCTGTGATTGTGACAGCAGAAAGGATTTTCATTTGGGTGTTCTCATTTTTTTAATCCTGGGGGGTGTTCTGGCTTGGGGTTGAAGGAGGGAGGTTGATGGGAAGTAAGATGAGAGAGCATTGTCTGATGTCTGGTGTTTACTTAGCTTTGCCACCAGATGACGACTTTTGAAGCATACATGAGACTTTGGACTTTGACGGAACGGGGTTTCTGATTGGACGGTGACTCTCTCCGTCTCTCTTTGCTTCGGTTGTTGGAAGAGAATGAGGAATGTACAGGGTCGGCACTTCCCTCAAAACTAGAATAAGAATAAAAGAGAGAGCCCCCTTTCGCTTGCTTCTTTTGCTGGGCAAAAGAAATGGTCTAACAAACTTGTTCCTTTAAAAAAAAAAGAATGACACGTTTTCCTCCTATTTGTTAGGTAGGGACTTCTACTTCCACAAGTTCATAGGTCAATATTTAAACCTTTTCTGTCATGTGAAGTCGCGATTTACATTAGTTCTTCACATTGCCGGAATTAATCGTCTTGATGGAGTCATAGTCCGATGATCCTTATTGCTCAAGAACATTGGATTGCAAAGGCAAATGCTGAATGAAATAGAAGATTGGATCGTTAGCGATATATAGAATATGTATATCATACGGACCAATAGAGTGTTTCTTCTTTTCAAATTCCGTGAGTTATATTCTTACCGAT